CAACCCTTCTCGGTAAGCCGCTGAAGATGCCAACGTGCGACGTGCTCTGGCCCCACGAGCCTAACAGTGCTACGATTTCTCATATGCTACTGAGGATTGTATAGTCTTGTTCGCTGTGGATGATGATGCGTGCCAAGTGGACTGGGTTTGGCGCGGCGCTAAATCCGTTTCCAACCGGTTGGTGAAGCGGGTAAGTGACAACACTCGGTGGAAAGCTACTGATATGAACAAAATGAACGATCTTGTCGCTTGGTCTCTGAAGTGGTGGAAAACGGATTTGGCGGTGCCAAACTTTTCTCTCCACACACGTCATTGGCAGCAAACTGCATATTGTAGCTCATCCCCGGTTCCCTACCCCGTGATCGAACTTGTTCTTGTTTCAATTATCCGCTCATGAAAGCTGCACCTTCTGGTGATGCGCTACACCACAAATCAAACAGAACGAACGGTAACCAACCGATGTCGGCAGACATTCGCTTTGTGTGCTATTGATAGAATCGTTCCTTCGTCGATTGCCAACATTTCGTCGCTGGCCCCCTTCGGCGCGCATCGATGATCGCTCGTTTTTCTGGATCTGAGACTGAACAAAATCGATTTTTACTGCATCACTTGAGATGTTTAGCTTTTTAATGCCAACGACAAATTGTATCTTAACGTTGCACTGTATAAATATTGATACACTGGCGTCGCACAAGGGTAGCCGATTTGTTTAATCAAACAGATTTCCAGTGAAACATACCGTGCGTTTGAATCGAACTGGTGATGGTGCTCTGCCGATGTCAGCTTTGCTACCTCCACGGCCTCGGTTCGAGAAGTTGGATCGATAACCAAGATATCCTTCAGGTTGCTGTGGATCATATAAGGATTGGGTGGAGTTCTGAACAAAGCCTATCGTTTTTGCCATTGACAGGAAAAGGCAAGACAACCAAAAAATCAGTATAAGTATAAAATCAAGTAGAAAATTACAAAATCGATAAGGCGATAATGACTTACGTATGTATATCTTGGACTAGGCACCCTGTCGTTGACCGTGTCACGATTTCCCTATAATGAGCAAAAAATATGCATATCGAACAGATAAACCTTATAATCCGCTTTTACGCTCGTGACATAATGGAACATACGCAGAAAACACAATAAGGCTTCAAAGGCTAACTATCGCCTTTTTTGTAGACTAAATTTCAGTGTCAACTCGATACCTGGTGGATGGTACATGCGATCAGTTTCGGGAATCGGAACACCACCATTACAACGTGGCGCCTCTTCTACTGCTCGATGGGCTTGTAAATTCGTTATGATTAGAGTTGTAGACTTGCCTGTAAAAAACGAGTGTTACGGGACTACTCAGCACGTTCTGGACTGCGTCGAACACATCGGTCCCATGTGTCATTGCCTAGCTATGTTTATTACATATTTACTACACGCTATGTCATGTGATCTATTTGTCATCTATTCGTTGTTCTATGGTTATTATGACATGTTTTTGGTACTAGAACACATAGCTCACCCAAAAAAGGTAAAAAAAGGAAAAGTGGAATTTTCGGTTCAATTAGTGTGAAAAGGTGTGAACTGCATAATTGATCTGTCGTGATCTTCGGTTCAGCAGCGGGCGCGTCGGCAATTGTATAGAAAAAAAGGACATTCTATAAAAAAAGGGGCGGTTATTCCGCTGCGGAACGGTTAAAACGAGTCAGGCGGGATGAGTTTGCGCGGGCCAATCCGTTTCTCCCCAGCTTATATGAGCGAGCAGCTTAGTGACCGCATCATGTTGTTCGTATTACTCGGTTTCTCTACCATTTGTTGTCCGCACTCCGCTTCACAGGAAGAGGCAGGCCAACGGCTTGACTGGACTCGGTGCACACTCAGCCTGACACGACGCCCACGTCCGCAGTCGACAGTAGGTGTCAGCGTTCCAGTTCTAGTCTAAGCATAGTGATGACCACTAGCCTTTTTAGCCGGTTTCATTTAAGGCACTACTCTTCAAATTCTATTAAACCTGCATATAGATATACAGGCGGGGGTGGGCAAACAAAAGGTCACGCCTCCCATGACTTTCAAAGGCGCTATAAGTTTACCCTTTAGCAAATTTTGATGACATTTTATGACTTACCATATTAAGAGCACTAAACATTATATTAAGAACATTAAATACTATAATGATACTCCGCCACAGCCTTCTGGAGGAGCGCCATCGAGAGATTCGGCCGCCCGCCACCGAAAGCTGACGTGGGTACCCAGAAGTCGAAGCGAGATCGTTGACCTTTCGTTCGCCACTGTGGACCACAACCTGTGAGCTCCGCCCGAACCGCGATAATTAAGGGGCGTTATCAGGACCCCCGCTTTAAATACTCCATCTTTTCCAGGTACTCAACGTTCTTCCATTCCAAGTAGGCGAAAGTTTTTCCAACGCCCTTCGATTAAATGTGTTGTCACCCAATCCTGTAGCAGTACAAAGTTTCCAAGAAGGTACGGGCGACGACATGAAGATGGGATATTCTCCTCGAGTTGCTCGATGTAGCCTAGCGCAATCTCAGTGCTTGGGCCACGAATGAAGCTAACATATCGGTTCCATCCATTCCAGTGCGGCCTGGTCACACCCATCACCCGCGCCTTGGTGAATGGGGTGAAGATGATGTCCTAGACCGTAGCGACGTTGCCGGAGCTGCTCGATGTTTGGGGTCTTGCAGATCAAGAGTACTGGTCTCCAGTAGTCTATCCAGTCGGGAAAATCTCCATCAAGGATTTCGCAGCTGTTTGGAGGCCACGTGAATTCCAAAGGCGTTCTCCACTCAGGCCGCGACTGGAGATGACTTCATATTTTGGTGTACATGAAGGTGAATGGCGGCAGCCGGTTCCTGAATTTATAGAGGAAGATCTTGGGTATCTTCCGCCCTGGTACTCATATCCACTTCCTCTGTCTGGGCTGCGAAAACTTCGCTCATATGTGACTCGGCCGGAATGACTTTCCCCCCCCCTGTATAAAACGACCTTTAGGACAAGCTAGGTCAAGTTCATGAGAGAAAACAGGCCGATCCTTGGAGCAAATCTGGTCGGCATTGAAAAAACGACCTCCTTCCAACTCTCATGTACTTTTCCACTCGAGCGCATAGCTTAAGGCTTCTTATCTGAGAATATTCACTATTATATGAACCGCAATGAAGCGTGATCAAAACTCATTCAAGGGTGACAAGTAAAAAGAATTGGGCTCAAAACGGAAATAGCGGACAAATCCACATGGCAGAACAGTTAGCTCTTGAAGGTGATGATGAGGACAGCCTTGTCGAAAGCTTTGTGTGAACCAGATTTTGAAAAAAACATGTAGTGTGGTAATTCCCAAAGGCAAAAAATATGAGCAAAGAAGAGCAAAGAAAGTAGAAAGTTTACACGGAAACCACGTTTCGCACACATATCTTCTCACAAGGGAGGTCGTTCAGGGCGTGGTGAGCTTTTTCAAAATGGTCTTGTGCATATTGTAGGGGCACATACGAGGACCTCAAAATTGAGGTTCATTTTCGCTGGCCGCCTTCTGCCGAATATAAAAAAACAGTTGAAAACAAATAGGGTGCGAATGCGTTCCGGATCCCACCGAGGACAAAATTTTGCTTTTCTACAGTTTTTCATTTTTTGGATCCATGTTTGTCTAAATAATTGGTCCTAACAGAAAACATTCCGATAAACTGAACATCCTACTTCCATGTGTGAGCAAAACTGCTTTTTCGTTCGAATTCGTTTGTATGCACAGACTCAGCTCTTCGGCGCTATGCCGGTGCCAGATGGCACTGGAACCGAAAATGAAAGTCTAGAATCGTGATCAGGACTGTCGATTACCCCTAGGAGCAAGTTTTGAGCGAAAAATTTTTTTTGACTTTTTCGGGTTGTAGGTGGCCGACCATTTGGTCGGCAATGTGAGCGGAGTCTCACATCTTCGTAACAGCGATGCGTATCGTTGACGCTACGGACCCCGGACAACCCAATAAGCAAACCCAAGAAGGTCAAAACAATTGTTTTGACCGAAAATTCGTTTTTAGTGGTAATCAGTGGCCCTGATCACAAATATAACACCTATTCTTGGCGTCCACGCAATTTGGCGACAGAATAGCGCTGAACGTTCCCTACATGGGTGTACATAACGAATTCACTGGAAAGAAGATGTGGCCCCAAATTGTCTATAATTGACACCACACCAGAAGTTACTAAATTCGCAATCAGATCCACTGTCTGGCCTATGAGGATCAATGTCCTGCAACAATCTTGTTCAATGGTCCGTGAAAATCGAAATAGTTGAATGGCACTGACTCATGATAGTATCAGCTACTCGGAATGTGCCAAGGCAAAATATGCGAATATGATATATGTAATGCTGCGGATACTATGTCAAAGCGAGTAACTGCTAAAATTATGCGGAAAATGCGCAGAAAAAGTCCGCACGCAAGGGGAGGACGCAACATCAACCCCACATCACTGTCGACTGCGAACTCACTCTATCGCCGCTAGGCCTCGAGTCGATTCTGTTCGAGCCGTCCAGATCGGTTGTATGAAAACCAATTGCATAGAGAGCGTTCACCTTGAGAAAGTGGACCAAGTTGGAAGCTCACTTGCGGCGATTTTTCGCTTCGATTCAAATAGCCCCTTTATAAGGACCCCCACTCAGCAACTGGTCAAAGTTGCAAGTGACCTACGCCGTATAGCAGGCTCATGAGCAAAAAGCAGATTCCAAAGGCTTCTTTTCACTCGTTTTTTACCTTTCCTGGAAGCGCGCAGCGAAAATGAAGCACACTTTTCAGGTCCTTGCATGAGCCCCCACAATATGCAAAAAACCGTTTTCGAAAAGCGCACCACCCTGAACGACCTCACTTGTCAGTGTTTTAGGTTGGAATGTTAGGTAAAACGACTAAAGATTATACATGTACCAGTACATAACGAAGAGGAGCGCGGCAAAATGACGCTGAGGATCGTGCTTTCACTGTACTTTTTTCGAACATATACGGCCCGTATTTCTGCGAGCACCCGCAAAAAAAAACCATTCTGTTCTGATCTTTACGATCGCCATCCACGGTTCAGCCACTTGGAAAAGCAGGTTTGACATAGGTATCCAATATCCTATCAATCGACTGCCAGCCTGCCTATATATCGCTATGGGCGTAGGTGGCGCGTGTCTGCAAATGGATAGCTCTCTCGCTCTGGGAGGAGTGGTGGCGTGTTTAGACGTCGCTTGGGGTCAGACAATTCATCCATTGAGGTAAGCATTTAGATTTTGTTTTTCCTACAACTACATATGGTGTCACATCGATGAAGAATTCCCATTATACTGGTCTATATCACAGAACTTCGAGAATCAGAAGGATGATCAACATTTTGGCCCACCAAACACATCACTCTCAGCCAGTAACACAGCTTTTTTGGATATAGCATTACTGCCAGACAACTATTTGGAACGACTGAAACTACAATACGAAAAAAGTAACACGATGAAATGCTATAAAAACATAGAACAACTCGGACTAACGTTATAACAACGGAAGGACAAGCCTTTTTTCTCGGCTCCCGTCTGACATGTGCAAAAGAAGTTGACACCAACTTTTGCCTTGTCCCCCTCCCCAGTATTTCTTATTCGTTCGATTTGTCAAGATAGTCAACGAATTAACATTTTCAGTTGTTTTCTTTCACGGCAAATATTAGTTAAGCAGCACATATATGCAAGTTTCATGAAGTATCCTCGCATGACGCTTTAAAAAGTGACTCACTTATTACTAGAATAACCTCCACCCCGTGTGTACGTTCGTGTCCCTGACACTCTTCCAAAACTGTCTCGTCGATCACTGCACATCGACGCCGCATCGGGTGTTGTGCTCCCGGAATCACAATCTATGAAGGAGAATATGCAAATATAAAAACAATGGTTAATGATTAAGCAAGTAATGCGAGAAAAAGATGCCTTGAGCCTTTTTAAAATACTTTTGAATTCATATTTACTGCTCTCGTATACTCTTTATCTACAGGCATTAACTTTTTAATGACCAATTTCAGTCAGTCAATCAGCAAGTCAAGACAACTTTTCCTGTGCAAAGGATGGTCAAACAAACTCACAAGAATGAACAGATTCCGTATCGTTACTACGTCTTCTGTTAGTAATTTCGTAAGCCCTTTCTGAAAATGAAGCATAACATCAAAAACAACATTTAATAATTTATAGTAAGCCAATTGAAGGCATATTCCATAGTTTGTATGGGAGGGATCACTTGGACCTATCCCCACTGACGAGCTTCTTTTCTTTACCAACTCAAGAGGAGAGCCATTAAGGACGTTTTTATCCGGGTGACACCGCCCACACTTGAGGGATGTGCCTTTTAAGAAAAAATTTCCGGTAATATTCAGCATGGGACGGGCACTCTACGATATTGTTCGTTTGTTTTCCTATATCTGTTGGATTACACGTCACACCTTGGTACAAGCTGTAGACTCTCGATCGATGAGAACCAGAAAAATGCCCCCACCAAGCCAAACTGGGCCTGAATTCCTTATACACTCAAGTGACAAAGCAAAACTCACCTCCTCCGCGACTATTTTCTAGAGAAATTCGGGAAGGACGTTTCTGCCTCGGCGGTTCGCTAGGAGGTTTACAATCGTTCGGTGGAGGGCCACTTGCTGTGACATCCGTTCCTTTTCGCATCATACCTGAAAAGAACCAGGATCACTTTGAAGAAGAAGTAAAGGTAAGTTGTTTATTCTGACCTTACAACATCAAGTCATTAACTGCGCTACCGAAAAAAAAACTCGAACTAAGCGCATGTTCAGCCGTTTTAGCTCAACACTACCGGCAATCCTATGGCAAGAACACTGGATTTGAACATCATCTTGAATCATAGTCGTTTTTCGATGAAAAGACCTCGCGTTTTGTGTCCCCAAGCTAGCAGCACGCAATTTCATTTTTCGGAAACGTTTCTAACTGGGGTTGCTTTAGTTACAAGTTTCATTATCAATTCTTTGACAGGCACTATGCGAATCAGACAAAATGCAGCCCAAGAACAATTCTTTCCCAGCTTTCCCCAGCTGAAAATTCCTCCATTATCACAAAGTGTAACGTTGAAGAATGTTGAAAAAAAATTTAAAAGTGAAGTCGTGCCCAATGTTCAGACCAAAGTCCTCGTGACAAAGTTACGCGACACAGCTACGTATACGACACGTGACACGTTGATCCGCACATTGTATCAGTATAATGAGAGTAATACACTGTGACATGACGGGGTAACAGTATGGGGTAGTTAGGATGAAGTGAGATTAGTCAACATAGGGCGCAATGGTTCAAACACCACTATTCCATAAACGAGTTCAATGGATGACGATTCACTACGAGTGCTAGGGACATACAAAGCTGCGTATGTTCCGTTCTCTATGGTTGTGACAAAAGCGATCAGGACACGTCGTACGTTGAGGATCTCCAAAGGGGAACTATTTGGCCTGGGGAATATTTATTCTATACGTTCAATATTCACGATAGTTGATCCGGAGGTCCAACCATCTTTTCCCATTCAAGGGCAGTCTAGTGAGAAGTTCAGTCATTATGGAAGGGAGTCGCACTAGTCAAGCAACAGACAGCTTCCTAACACTTCAACTTTTGCTTACACTTTTTTTAGCACGCCTTCGCTTGCGAATAGACCATAGGATAAGGCTTTTGGTGTTAATCAACACATCCCCGGGCTGCGCCTCACAATTCGCTTCCGTTCTCGTTTGCAGTGAGATACTGACTGCGACATGGTCTACATCATGACCTGTGAGGGCCAGTGGTAGTACAAGTTAACGTTTCATCTTCTTGCCTTGCTTTCTTCTTTAGCGTTGGTGCGCCGCTCAGGCGGCAGGGTCCGCTCTTCTAATGTGATGACGCCACTTTTCCTCATCAAATGCCTGATCGGGTGAATTCCAGCTATTAGGCTGTCCGGAAAGTTCTCAGCGTTTTGTGTTATTTTTTGTAGCTTCATTTGGGCCTGAATTAAAAACTCACTCTCCCTTGCGTCTCAGTAGTACATCCTGAAGAGAATGTTTGGCGCTATCTGATGGTATAACTGCCGTTTCACCATTGGCTTGATGAACCCCTTTTTTGAAGATTTTTCAAGCATGTGAAAAGAGCACTTCGGACGATTTTTTTTCGACTATAAATTGGGGCAATCCGCAATCGAAACAGCTCAACAAATTAACCAGGTGTGGGGCCCAATAGTGCTAGAGAAAGCACTGTGCGGCAATGGAAACAAATTTCGTTCTGGAGATTTCAGCCTTGAAGATGAACCTCATAGCGGTCGACCTAAAGCAATATCTGACGAGGATTTTAAGGGGATTTTGGAGGCTGACCCATCCCAAACAGTTCGAGAGATTGCAGAAAAGCTAGGCGTTGGCAAATCCAGTGTTGCAGATGGTCTGAAACGCATTGGGAAGGTTAAAAAACTCGACAAATGGGTGCCCCACAATTTGAGTGATCGGCAGAAATTGGCACGTCTCGAGGTTTTCTTCACTGCTTTTGCGCAACAGAAACGACCCGTTTTTGAACCGAATTGTCACCTGTGATGAAAATGGATCATGTATGATACAGGAGACGTTCCGGACAGTGGTTGGATTTCGACGAACCACCGAGGTAATTTTCAAAGCCGAACCCTCACGAAAAAAGATTCTGGTCACGGCTTGGTGGTCATCGGCTGGTGTGATCCACTATAACTTTTATAACTCGGTGTTGGTGTATCTCGTCACGTTTGGGCCATGACACAAACAACCCCCTACGCCAGTTTGAAGATCGCATTGAAGAAATGTACTCAAGAGATATTTTGTCAGCTCGCGAGCCATTAGTGCGTATCAAAAGCAAAGGGGTAGCCGGATTCCTTGTGCATGAACAACGCACCGCCCACTACGTTTCACAAATTATCAGTATCCATTAAATTGATAGCGAAGTGGGGTTGAAGTTCTACCACACCCACCATATTCTCCAGACCTTTCACCAACCGACTATCACCTTTTCAAACATTTTCAGAACTTCCTTGCTGAAAAATACTTCATCAATTAGGACCAGGCAAAAAAGACCTTCGCAGATTTCGTGGATTCTCGACCACCCAGTTTTTTCTTTGTGATGGGATTTCTCGACTGCTGTCACATTGGCAAAAGTGTGCTGATTCGAATGGTGCTTATTTGATTAAATCCGATGAGTGTTAAGAAAGTTATGATCGTTTAAAGTGAAACACTCGAAACGTGCAGAACTTTCCGGACAACCTAATATTTTCAAGTCTGTATGCAACATATCGAGCCACCGCTGTCTGGGACGTCCCCTAGGTCGCTTTCCGTGCACCTCAAGCTGAAGGCCAGTCCTACAGACGGTGTCAGCCTTTGCGCGAAGTACATGGCCGTACCATCGAAGGCGCGTTTCTCGCATTTTGTCAGCTATAGGAGCTATGCCGAACTTCTTGCGTATTACCTCGTTACAAATGCGGTCCAAACGCGGTGGTGGACTGGTGGTGAAGTCCGTTCCTCCAAGTGGTGCCACCGGGTACTGCCCGCTTTTGCGGGTTGCAGAACACGGACAAACTCGAGGCAGGTGACAGGCCTTCGTGACGGGCCGACCTACGAACACCCCATGTCACATCACAATGTTGACTATGCCACATAAGTTAGTGTTTCATCCTCCAATCAATTTTAATACCATTTACCCAGCCTCAGATTGCCCGAAAATTGGTATCAGAGAGGGAGGCTTAGTTGGCCCGAGAAGCGTCAGGCCATAAATTGTCTCGCGACCACACCCACTCGGGTTGGGATATAATATGTCAGATAAAACAGGCATTTTGTCGCTTTTTAGACTTCAATGTTGCCTTCACGACTTCCCCATAGACTTGTGGATCCATTCCGCTATCTTTCGAAGTTCAGAAGTCCACATTCTTGGCTTTGAAGGAAAAGTACTACTTGTTTTGCTCGCGTAATAAGGGACAATACCCCATTCCAGCGAGGGGCTCTTCAAAAAATCAACGTTGCGGCGACGTGCAAAACTAGCTATGTTTCTTTCGCTATACTCCACAATTTGCAAATTAAATGAATTCAGTCTAAGGTGCAAATGCCGCGCACGTGACATCGGTTTCGCTGCCACGTGGACTGCCTGAAATAGACCCTACCGCCAACGCTAAGCGCATAAATTGCTACGCTTCACTACTGTAAATTTTATTCAGCGCGCCAATAAAAATCCATCAGAATCGTTTCGTATATGTGCACGCATACAATTACAATCTTCTGAACGCTGCTCTATTATTCTGGCATGCGTTTGCGTCACACATACATAGGAATCAAAAAAGCCTGGTAGCCCTCACTTGTGTATGGCGAAAAAACACAAAGCATAACTAGGCATGCAAAGCAATCAATATAACAAGCATGAAAGGCATCGTATAGTAAAATGTCATACCTGGTCGGTATATTTGAATTTCAGGGCGAA